GCCCCAGCTCCAGCTCCAGCTCCAGCCCCCAGTCCCCAGTCCCAAACCCGACTCTCCCCGCCCCGAGCTCCGCCCCAGCCCAGCCCGGTTCTCCCCGCCCCAGCCCCGTTCACTCCGCCCCAGCCCAGCCCGGCTCTCCCTGTCCCCAGCCCGGCTCTCCCCTCCGGCTGCTCGGTCCTGCCGTGCTGTGCCCGCTCAGGTCGCGGCTGCCCCGGTCCCTCCCGGCCCTTCCCTGCCCTGCTGGCGATCGGGCAGCGCCGCTCCGGCTCCTCGGGCGGATATCCCGGTGATCCCCGAGCCCCGGGGGCTGGCGGCTCACCCTCCGGCCCCGCAGCATCCCCGGCGTGCCCGCCGAGCCCCCGGGCAGCCGGCGGCATGTCAGCCGTGCGGAGGAAGTTCGGGGACGAGTACCAGGCCGTGGGCCTCGCTCGCTGCAGCGCCCGCAGAGAGCGGCAGCGCTTCGTGGACAAGAACGGGCGCTGCAACGTGCAGCACGGGAACCTGGGCGGCGAGAGCAGCCGCTACCTCTCCGACTTCTTCACCACGCTGGTGGACCTCAAGTGGCGCTGGAACCTGCTCATCTTCCTGCTGACCTACACGGTGGCCTGGCTGGTGATGGCCTCCATGTGGTGGGGCATCGCCTACCTGCGCGGTGACCTGCACCAGGCGCACGGTGACACCTACAGCCCGTGTGTGGCCAACGTGTACAACTTCCCCTCCGCCTTCCTCTTCTTCGTAGAGACCGAGGCCACCATCGGCTACGGGCACCGCTACATTACGGAGCGCTGTCCCGAGGGCATCGTGCTGTTCCTCTTCCAGTCGCTGCTGGGCTCCGTGGTCGATGCGTTCCTCATCGGCTGCATGTTCATCAAGATGTCGCAGCCCAAGAAGCGAGCTGAGACCCTCATGTTCAGCCGTGCCGCCGTCATCTCGCAGCGGGATGCCAAGCTCTGCCTCATGTTTCGTGTGGGCAACCTCCGCAACAGCCACATGGTGTCCGCCCAGATCCGCTGCAAGCTCATCAAGGTGAGGCCTGGTGACACCGGGTGGCACAGGCGACACGGGCAGGGGTGGGCACAGCTGGCGGGGGGCTTCCCCTTGCTGCTGCCGCTGCTACTGCTGCTGCTGCTGCTGCTGCTGCTGCAGCTCTGCCCTGCCCGGCAGGGTGAGAGGATGTGAGTGAGGAGCGCTGTGAAGGACTGGGGAAGGTTTTGGAGGAGCTGTCCGCAGCAGGAGCCATGAAAGAGCCAAGCAGGCGTAGGGGAAAACCGTCTCATCAGACTGAAATGCGCTCCCAGGGGAATTTCAGTGGATTGTGAGGCTGGCAGAAAGCCGCTTTGGTCAGGATGGATGCATGTGTCAGGATGCAGGACAGCTGCAAGGAGGGGTGCTAAGGCGTGCTTCTTTATAGATGATGGCTGGGAATAAGGAATTGATTTGTGGTGGTATTAAACCAGGATAAAGGTCAACCTTGACCTCCTCTTCTTCTTGGGGAGCTCTAACTTGCAGTCCCTTATCCCAGTGTTCCAGCTAGTGACCTGACAGCATTTCAGAGGGATTGTATAGATGCTTTAGTGGAAATAGCCTTTGATTGTCACCAGTATCTGTTTATTAATCACTGACAATGGCCAGTATAATTCAGAATGCAAGAAAACTGGAATTCAAGTGAGATCATAAAAAAACCCCCAAAACCCAAAACAAAACAGCAACCCCCCCAAAACAAAAACAAAATAAACTCACCCACCAAAACAAAATAAACAAACAAAAAAGAAACAAAAATCAAAACAAAAAACCCAGAACAACCAACAAAAAAAAATTATCAGGACAAAAGAGTTTGGCAGTCACAAAAGTCCAGAAGATAAATTGAACTGGAGTAGAATGAAGAAAATCACTGAACAAGACTAAGCAATCTCACAGTAGCTGTGACTTGTCAGGGGTTCATGCTTGCTGAGATCTGTGAAGCTCCTCAGCTGTTAGAAGCTGGATCCCAGTGATGACATTCATTTCAGGATATCATATTTGACTGTTATAAATGTTCTGTTCTCTGTCTGGTAATTCTCTCTGGCCTTTTTAATAATCTCCATAAACAAGCATGAAGCAGTAAATGTGAAAGGTTCTTTTCTTTCTGTTCTGTGCCGAATGCCAGACTGAGCTGTTAACTTTCCTTGCTACGGAATAACACTTAAAATGGAGAATCTGCTAAGATTTAAAAATAAGTTGTGTGTGTATATATATTTTTATATATATATATGGGAACAAGCTGTGAGGAGTTACACTGGAGCAATTTTTGTAGGAATTGGAAAGCCAACTGAATCACGTTTTTTGTTGTTTTCTAGCAGAAATCTCCTCTAAATCTAAGTATTTAATTCTAGCATTCAAAATGGAATGTAGATCAAAGTGGAATAAAAGTGGGGTCACCTTCTGTTTTTACAGAGAAGGCAACTAATTTTCTTTTGAAATAAGACACCAAATATACAACCTGATGTCCTTTCTGCTGACAATTCTATTGCTACACGATGCTGGTAATCAGATGATTGGGACAGAAAACTGAAGGACATTTGAGGGACCCTGCCTGACCATTGTGTCTTAGGATAGCTGTTTTGTAAGCCAGACAATCAATCAGTGAGCAATTCTTGATTTATTTTTTTTTGTATGATCATCATGCCCATGTGTTGTATTCCAAGATGTTTTGTGACCTTTGACAAACACAAGGTATGAACAGAAGAAGATTTAAAATTAAGCAGTAGCTGCCCCCTCACTCCTCACTGAAAGGCGTGGTATTAGTTCCTGTGTCTTTCTGTAAATCCTTGTCACTGAACTGGACACACCATTCTAGGAACCTTTGGTGCCCTTGAATTTCCATCAGCTGCTTTGGAGTAGCTTTGTGTGTCCTGTAAACTTCCAGTGAATGTGCCAAAATTTATTTGCTATCTTCAGCAAATCCTTTTTGTGGTTTGAGCTCTGGCCTCTGTACTTCCCTGCAGTGCTGCTAGCAGCTGACCTTGCTACACTTCTGCACCTGACCAGGTAGCCAGAATTGTCTTTTGTACTGGTGTCACAGTGAAGGAATGTGAAGAAACACATCACATTTTTGTACTTGAGCTAGGAGATCTATTTAGTAGTGAATGGGGTGTTTTGCTCAGACCAGTGGAGCTCTGAGGATTTACCTTTGTAAAATACACTAAGTTTTTCTGAATAGCATTTACTCAGTGTGATTCATGCCCTGATACATTCAGTAGAACACAATGCTGCTGCCACACTGGGCTGCCTTTTCTTTGGGTCCAGAGGCTGGGCAGCAGCATGGCAAAAGGATATCATGCAAAAGTCTGAGGCTCTTTTTGGACTGAGTTGTGAGGAGTTTGGAAATCAGTTACAAGATTGTGTGTGTTTCAGCAAAATCTTTTCCAGAAACCCATGTCTTTCTAGTTTACACTGAGTGCTACAGAAGCTGGAAAAAGCAAAATCCTGGGGCAAGAAATAGAAAAAAACAACAAAACTACTTGGAATTAGCTGCTGAAAATGTGCTACTTCAGGTCCTGGACTTTTTAATGTCACAGTGAACTGTATTTTTCTGCCTGTTGATTCCTGGACCTTCCTAGTGTGCCTAAGGCAGCAGCCACCAGTATGGCAATCAGTATTGATTTTATAAAACTCAATCACAATACATATTTGTACCTTCTCTTAATGTGACTGCATATATCACTGATAAACAGGATAGTGTTGGTGTGTAAAGTCATCTATGCAGTGTTTCAGCTAGTATAGGACATTTTGATTCAGAAAGTTGAGGAATGTAAAATCATCATAGCCTGTTTTAAACAGGTGCTAACAATAGTTTTAAGAATACAGTTGTGAAGCATGATAGCCCCAGAGGCAGTGAGCTTTGGGTTAGAACCAGCAGGCACATGTTCTTTAGGCTGTGCTTACTAACAGCTTTGAATAAGCAAAAAAAAATTGTAACAGGAAGTTTGGAGATGGCAGGTGACAGGGACTGGAAATAAGTAAGAAGACCCATTAAACTGTGATTTCAATAAGCTGATAAGTAGGGCAGAAAGTGCAAAAAACCAAGTTTTTTAATATTACAGAATTGTTCAGATTGGAAGGAACTTGAGGAAGTTTGTGGTCCAACCTTCTGCTGAAAGTATGGTGAGCTAGGAGATCAGACCAGGTTACTCTGGGCTTTTTCCATTATAGTTTTGGAAATCTCTAGGAAAAAAAAAAACAAACCTCACAGCCTTTCTGGGCAAGCTTTTCTGCTGCTTAGCTGTCCTCATGATGAAAATGTTTTTCTTCAATCCAATCCAATCCAATCCAATCCAATCCAATCCAATCCAATCCAATCCAAACTTCCCTTGTTTAAGCTTGTACCTGTTGTCTCTCATTTCTGTTAGGCACCTCTGTGAAAAGTCTGTCTCTGTCTTCTTGATCAGGTTCCTCTCAGGTTTTGAAATGTTTCTGTTAGATCCCCTCTATGTCTCCTTTTCTCTGTTCTGAACAAGCCCAGCTCACACAGGTCATATTTATAGTATGGGGCAACCAGACTAAAATAAAAAGTAGCAGCAATCCTAGGAATTATGTATGGTAGAGCTCCAGGTATAGTGTCACAGCTGAAAAACTCCACACAAATCTTCAACAATATCAAAGTAACAAGATCATATTGTTCCAGTAATATAAAATATAATAACACTTCTTGCAAGCTGATAGTCTGAGTGGGGGAGGAGCAATGAGCATGTTTAGCATTTTCTAGATTTATACATTTCTCTACAATGTGCTGCAGTGTTAAGCTTGATGGTGCTGCATCTTTTGAATCCAACTTTTTCTGCTGCAGTGCTTAATTAGTCCACCTGGATATCAAAACATAATTATGTGAGTTCCCTAATGAGTGAATGGACAGAGGGTTAATAATAATATAACTGCATCAAGTCCAGTTAAAGGGAAATATGCATGTTTATGAATAAATAATGTTTAGAAAAACAAAGAGAATGAATAAAGGATAGGAATGAATATTTGAAGAGCATGATGTATTTGTTCAGACACTAAAATAGACTAAGTGGTGATGCACTGGAAGTTTGCCTTGTAATAAAAACCAAAACAAAGATCCAGAAAGTTAAAGACACAAGATTTTTTTTTTTTTCCCCCCCCCTTAGATGTGAAAATTTCTCTTTTGGAGAAATTCTCTGATTCCTTTATAGATTATCTGTCTGACCACATTTAAATTGCAAGCTAGGGCTTGTAATTGTGCCCTTATTCAACATGTATTATTGTTGTGAACTTTACTTGTCTTTGTGTTATGTAGATGGTCAAAACAAAGAATCATAAGTGTTCTTTCTAGAGTTATTTTATAGTCCTGTGTCTTGTTTTGTGATCCTTTGAGTAAAGCTGTATATGTAAAACAAAGGTCACTGGCTAGGAGGCTGAACCTATTGGGGCTATTAAGCTCTCTTCATTCAGGTTAACTTATTTTTTATTCAACAAACAATTTTTTTAAAAAATCCTCCATGCCCTGCATAAATCAATCCTGTATGTAAGCTACTGAATACCTCAAACACAACCTTCTGCTTTCTCCCAGATCTGTTCCCTCTAATCATCCTCGCTGGATTTGTTTACTATTGAATGGATTTGATCGAAGACTCTTCCACAAAGAAAAATGGTGTGTAGATCAAACAGTTCTTCAGTCAGTCAGGCAACAGCTTGTGCAAAAGTGCACATTTTTGTCTAGGTAAATGTATTTGATGAAGCTTTGGGACAATTTGAGATTTAGATGTTGGTTCATACAGCTTTGGAGCAAAGATCATACCTGGGCAATCAGTTTGTGCACCCGCTGCAAGAGCAGCAGCCAGGCAACAAAAGCAGCGCTGTAGTCTGCAGCTTAGCTCTGCAGCTTGCCTCAGGAAAAGAGAAAAGATGGTTTTGCAGGAGGCTGATTCCACCTTTGCATATAACAGAGACTGTCGTGACTGGTATGTAGCAGCAGTGTTGATGGCTTTTATCTCACAGCACTTTTATGTTTCAAATCATAAATAATTTGTGAAAATGCTTTCACACACAATCAGCTGATATTTGTCTTCATCAGTAAAAGAGAAATTGACTCTTGTCCTCCTGTGCAGGGGAGAACTTTGTTATTTAGACAATAAGGATTTTTCTTCCTCAGTGGCAAAACAAACATGTAGCACATAGATGAAATCCTGGATAGTATTTAATAATGAGCTGTACTGCAGCTGCTGCCTAGCTGGTTTTGTAATCTCCAGTAAATATCAGACAGTTACAAAGTCAGCATTTCTAAGGTACATGTGAGGACAATATGAAGATAGACTATTTGCTTGAGGATTTTCTTTAAAGACAGAAACTTTCTTAAAAGAACACAGTCAGATCCAAGTTGATGGCAAAACCTGCTGCCTTTGGCTTGCTTTCAGTGAACAATGTTTCCAAGCAGTGGAACCAGTGCATTTGTCAATACAAATGCACAAACACAATTAAAATTGTTTATTTATTCATTTATGATAGTATAACTTATAACAATATGTATTTCTTTATAATCAGTAGTCATCTTCTTGAAGAGTTAAGTGCTTTTTAATCAAACAATAAGAAGAAAAGATTTTAAATAGGATTTATATCAGCTGCTAATTTTATAAAGCTTCTAATTTTGGTGGGTAATTTCCACTAGAGACCTTCAAAGCAATCAGGTGAGGAGCTGCCTGGACAACTGATGTAACTTTTAGTTAGACTTTGAATACCAGGAAAATTTGAATACCAGGAACCCTATGGGGTAGAGAGAAGCTACCATATCAGTATTTTTATTAGACCCATGAAATGATGGGAGGAAAAATAAGACACTCAGCTTAATAATAATTAAGGATAATATGCAGTACGTGGTACATGCAAGGGATGATAGCATCATCAGTATAAATTCAGGTGGTTTTGTGAAAATGCCACTTATCAGATGTACTGTACAATTGCTGTGGTGTTTACCTTTGAGTTAATACATCACAGTGTCTGCCAAACAAAACTTAGTAACATACAAAACGAATGGAACGTGAATTCAAACAACAGAATAAAATGTGCCCGGCTTGCAGATTTTCATCTCGTTAACAGGAACTTTTGCCACAGGATATTCATGTTGAACATCCAGTACAAGGCATGTAGTGTGTGACATGACATTTTTGTAAGTGTATAAATACATGTATTTATATATTTATATGTGTGTGTGTGTGTGTCACAGTGAAGTCTGTAGGTGGTGATGAGATCTACTGGCATAATAAGAAAAGTCAAAATTGCTCTTGCACAGCAGCCTCACAGTATTTAGCATTACTTACATCTCCATTATGAAGCCTGCAGACCTAATACATGTAGCTGATAATGTGTTGGATGAGGCAGGTTTAAACTTTATTGCATTATGTTTTGCTTCACACAGTGATTACTAAATCATCTTTTTCTCTTTAGTCCAGACAGACACCGGAGGGAGAATTTCTGCCACTAGACCAGTGTGAACTGGATGTTGGATTTGGAACTGGGGCTGATCAGCTGTTTTTAGTTTCCCCTTTAACCATCTGTCATGAAATTAACTCAGAGAGCCCCTTTTTCTGTCTCTCACAAAGATCACTGAGGAGTGAGCAATTTGAAATAGTTGTCATCCTGGAAGGAATCGTTGAGACTACCGGTAAGACATATCTGCATGCTCTGATTTTTAGTCCTTGTTTTCAGTCCTGATATTTTTAGCAAGGCAGCTGTTAGTCCTGGATGCTCCAGCATATCCTGCCATATGCTGCAGAGCTTCAGTGGCTCTTCCCAGCCAATAGAAACCTCCTTTCCCCACAGGGCTCTGCATTGCCAATTCCCAAAGTGGCCAGCAAGAGACACAGCCTGCCAGTCTTTGTGGAGCAGCTCAACACTCTTACGAGTCTTCTGTTCTAAGGACCACCACTCTGAAAGAAAGTTGAACCTTAAAAGTTGCCAGTGCTGCAAAATTCCTTTCAGCCTAGTTTGCACTGAATTGAATTCAGAATAAGAGATCCAGTTTTACTGCACAAATACAGACCTCATAGTCACAAAGGTTGTAGGAATACGTGGTTATTGGCAAATATGAGAAGGGTTTTGTTTCTTTTTTAAATTTGGGTATGGTGTTGTCCAGATGACAGCTGATCTTGTGGTGTTTTGTTTTGAGGACTCAGTTCTTTTACGAATCCCATGAAAATGGGTTTCAGTTATACAAGGAGCTCTTCATCAACGATCCATGAGTACCATTAAAGTCCAAATCATTCAGTATGCTCATCAGCATTCTGATCTTCTTCCTTCTTTTGAGGATTTGTTAAACTTTGATTAATCAGAGAGCTTTCTTGTCCTTTCTGCAAGATTAGCAGCTGCCTCATGCCTGCCTTGGAAAAGTGGTGTCCCTTTGGTGCAGCCATGTGCAGTCATCCTTGTCTGGTTGCTCTCCACTTGCTGGCTCTAAACAAATACACAATCCACTGGGGCAGAATGCTCCTTCACATTGAGTATGGCATCTTTAGATCCCTGCAGAGGCCTCATCTTACCCTGCAACTGAAGCATTTATGTGAGATAAGCATGTATTCATAACCTCCCTTAATGCAATTACCTGTCTGGATATTTAAAGGGAGACATTTTACACTTGAGAATCCATGTGGCAGTAACTAGAGAGCAAATCAGAATTTGGGCTTACTGACTTCTGATTCTGCCTCTGGAGACTACCATGACAGGAAGTCTTAAAGTTCTGCTCACCTGGGATATTTGTATAAATGATTGTAGGTCCTGTTGTGGTGAGATGGTAACAGATTTTCCAGCTTGGTTAGAACATATTTTAGCTGTGAGTTCACACATTTAAATGCTACTAATGATGTATTTTGCACCAAGTGGAACAAAGTCTTCAATAACTTTATAATGCCACCTGTGTCTGAACATGAAAGAGCTTCAGTGTCTATGCACAGCTTTTGTCTTGACATACTGTTGGGAGAAAAAGTAACACAGAAAAAAAGCCTACAGAAGAAATGCAAAATTACCTTTTTTATTTGGCATTGTCTCCCCCAACACCTGATCCTTGCCAAAGGATTCTGTAAGCCTCTGCCAAGCAATAGTTCTTTCTCCCAAAAACCAGTATTACTTATTCTTTCAAGGCTGAATTGGGATTGTTCAGCCTGGAAAAGGGAAGCTTTGGGATGACCTAATTGTAGGCTTCCAGTACTAGTCATGGTGAAGAAAATGAAATCTGTCCCAGCTGAAACCAGCACGCAAGCTAATACTGTTTTAATTTTACATTTTGCTTTGGCTTGGTTGCAAATCTGCAATATTTGCTTAAAAATCTAGTCAGTCAATTAGAGGCACTCTGTTGACTGTCAGAAGATTGTCTAGAAACAATTCCCCATTTTATAATCCATAAAATTATTGGCTTTATGCCTGTGACTGATTTTTATCTGTCAGCCTTGTCATGTATTTTTTGTCCCATGTGCAGTCTCCTTGCTCACATTGGAATGCCATTCTCCTGTCCATTTCCACAGGAATGACGTGCCAAGCCAGGACCTCGTACACAGAAGATGAAGTCCTTTGGGGTCACAGGTTCCTCCCAGTAATGTCTCTGGAAGATGGCTTTTTCCGTGTCGATTATTCTCAGTTTCACGCCACGTTTGAAGTCCCCACTCCTCCTTACAGTGTTAAAGAGCAAGAAGAAAATCTTTCCCAGTCAACTCTCTTGAACAGTCCTTTTGAAAAGAAAACCAGAAGAGAACAGGTTTGTCCGCTCGACTGTGCCGATATTACAGGAGAGAAGAACAAGCTCCCTGCTAAACTTCAGAAGATCAGCTCGAGGAAGGAAGGCCTTCCACCAAGAGCCCTGAGAATGGGTTCCAGTAACATGGAGAAGACTTCCAGTACTGGAGATCTCTTGAAAATTCAAGAAATAAGTCCCATCTCTGATGGTGAAGACAGTGATAACAGGATGCAGCTTAAAGCCTTAAAAATAAATGCCAAGGCTCTGACTCAGTCTACCAGCGACCTCGAGTTACAGAAGGATTTTCCAGGTATGGGTGCTCTGGAGGTGAAACTGGAAGATAATTTTCCTGCCAAACTTTGAAAAATGAACTCTGATCACTTCTTTTAAGAGCTGAAGAAACAGGAGCTGTTGCTGATAACTGCATTGGAGACTGCTGCCCTGAAAGAGTTGTTCCACAGTAAAGTCACAACTTGGCTTTGCTACTTTCAGGAAGAATGATCCTTTCTGTATAATTGTTCTGTACAGATCCAATTTAGGTAGCATAACAGGACCTTGAGGGGCAGGAAGGTTACCCCTCATGCCAAAGAGATTCCTACCCTGATGATATTTATCAGCATGCTCATTGCAAATCTCCCCTGTCTTCCATGTGTGCAGATAATTTTTCACAAAGCAAGGATCAGATGCTTATCACAGAGCAAAATGTTCAGAGATGAAACCTAGAAGGGTGTAACAGCAGCTGAAAGCTGGTTTTGTGCAGCTCAGATCCTGGACTGCTCCTGATGTACAGAACACAAGAGGAAAATGTGACACTGCTCATTCCTAGTCCAGTTCTCAGTGACCCCGTTGGAAAGAGACCTTCCTGGTGCATCCTTCTTTCCCTGTGACTGTGGCACACTCCCTCTGTGCTCCCAACATCTCATCCATGATCATTCAGGTACAGGAAGCAGTGTGCAATAACCATTTGGGTCATTTGACCTACGTGAGCTCTTGTAAACATGAGGATCATTTACCCTGTCCAAAATTAGACCTCAGACCAAATTTGATTTGGTGGATCACATGCTGAATTTTAATGACCATATCACCACTCACTGTGAAGGAAACTTCAGATGGTAGCTCAGCTTCATGGCATGTTTTATACTGCAACTACCTGAAATTGCAGTTTGGAGACATTGTAAGTAAATAAATAAAGGCAAAATGCTAAATAATGCTCCATCATTACACATCTCAGAGTTTTACTAATGGATTGTAGTCTTTTGATGTTGCTGATTTTCATTTTGGTACATTTGCCTTCTCCATTTATATATGACTCTCAATAATTTGGTAGATTTGATATTTATTGCTATTCAGCTCAATCCACCTCTGTCTGTGAGAGAGGCTTTTCCTTTCCTGGTTGGTAGTAATTATAAACACACCCTGCTGTTTTGTAAATGGTGTTCAGTGGGGTGTTCATCACCAGAGCATTAGCAAAGCACTCTCCAAGAGAAGGATCAAATTCTGCTCTTGTTATGTGGACAAAAGTCAGTCAAATTTAAAGGGGTGGCAGTGGCCATGTTGTTTGGCAAAGCATTCCTTGGTGGTAAAGTGATGTATCCAAGCTAGGAATAGCTTGGCTTGCAGAGCTCGCTATTTCTTGCTTTTGATCTGTCTTCAGTGTGAAACTGGAAAATGCTATTTTATGCAGGGATAAGATGTGCTGTTTGTTGTTGTTTATCTGTTCTCAACGTGAATTTCAACAATATATATGTGCTAAAATCTGTATTTTCGTTTATCAGCTGTATTTGTATGGAGTATTTAGATGACAGCATGAAGTCTTAAATGATGATGACTCTCCCTACTCTCCAGAACTGCCAAAATTAGTATAAAATAAAATTACATCCACCTTGGGTCTCAAGAATTCTTTACTGGAATGTGCATGTGTGTGTTGACAGCGGAGCAGCTCCAGAAGATGAGGCCCCATCTATTAGTGCAGTGGGATTGTGTTGCTGTTTCAGTGTGGAAAATAGGTGTTCTCACTTGGAAGGGGAAGATTAGGGAAATCCTTGTATCCTGACACAGTTACTTTGAGAGCAGAGACATTTTCCACTTGGCTCTTCCCTTGAGGTGGTTTTGAGCATGTGTTTCCTTCTTTTGCAAGCCCACACCTCCATCGTGTGGTTGTTTTGATGGATGCTGACAGTGCCCAGGAAAAAGCCAAGAGTTTTTCTTTCCTGGCACCGTTCTTGTGGGAGTAGTTAATGAAAGGGGTTCAGTTCTGGATCCTGGCTCTTGGAGACTGATCCTGCATAGACCTGGGAACACAGGTGAGTCATTTGTTGGCTCTGCAGTTTATAGGCTGCAAAAGTAAAGGTGGATTCCAGGGCACCCCTTTCTTCTATAACATTTTCTGTGGGGCCATGTGCTGAGTGTTCTTAAATTTGTAATGCACTCTGTAAGACTGATGTGTGATGCAGTTTGTTAGCTGCAATGGGGAAAATAAAGGTACCACTTTTGAATCTAGGCTCTGCAAGAGTGAAAGGATGTGATGGTTCATGCATCTGAGCAGGAGGTGCACAACTCCATGGGGTGTCCTGCTTTTTCCAGGATGCGAGTTAAAGGCAGAGACAGCAATAGGTTATTGAGAGGGTGCATTTTGTGACCAGTATTTACACTTGATACAGTTAATTTTGGTTCAGAAGCTGTGCATGATTGAAAGAATGTGACAGTACATTGAAAGGAAAGCTCACAGCTCTTTTGCGTGGTGTTGCTGAAATCCTTCAATGTGAATGTGAAACACAGCAAGTGTTTCCTTCTCTTTTGTTTCCAGATAAAATTTTCTTTATCTTGCCTTCCCTACCCGTGTTTCGCCTGCCTTGCATACAGTTCCCTTGCCTATCTTTGCCTTAACCTCCCTTGCCTTGCCTACCCCTCCCTTCTCTTTCCTTGCCTTGCCTATCCATCCCCCACTGTGACTTGCCTGCCCCTTTCTTGCCTGACTTTCTCTGCTCTGCTTTGGGGAGCTGCTTGGCTCTTGAACAGATGGTGCTGTACAGTGCTTTTGGAATGGCACATGGACCTTCTCAGGGTGACAGAGATCTCAGCCTTGCATGTACAGCCTCAGAAGCAGAATGAGGAGAAGAAGACTCTGAAAACACTCGACACTGAGGAGATGCTGGTATATTTTAACTTTACCTGGAAGATAACCCAGCATTTGCTCTCCAGCCTTAGCATGGAGATGTGGCTTCGTCAGAGAAAGTGGTAAAGATGCTCAGTGTAGGGAAACATTGAGGCACTTTGCCAAAATATTCATTATGTGTTTGAGAGATGTGGAGTCAGTGCCAGCAGTCTCTGCAGGGAAGCTGCAGACAGTTCAGGATGGATCACAATATAGGAGGTGCCACAATGCTCTTCTGTCTCCCCACTGCTCAGAACTTCTTGCTCCTGGTTGTGGAACTCCTCCTCAGCCTGTATCTGGCCAATCTTCAGCCTTGAGTCTTTCTAGGATGGTGTCTCCTGAGTCATGAGAGAGTCCATTTTCAAGTCCCACACCTAGGGATCCCACTAATGAGTAGCATAAAACAATGTTCCCAACTGTCCTCAAGAGCTGTAGCCCCCCATGACCTGTGTTCCCTTCTCCCATCACGGCTTCATTTTGCTGGTGCCTGGCTTGGGACTCCTTGCCTTGCACAGGAGACTGAACTGGACTGCTAACACATGCTAACAGGCAACTTAGTTAATAGGCAACTTTATTTCCACAACTAAATCAATTTCAGCATTTGTGTTCATGCAGAGGAGGATGATGGGCAGGACAAAGGACACCTTTGACCCTGAGATTGCCTTTGGATCAGCAGGCACTGCCCCAGTATGAAATGGTCACTGTCCACTGCAGCCTGCTCTGGATCCTGTTCATCCTGCTGCTCATGGCTTTTTTCCCATGAGTTCCTGCAGCATCTGGTGCACCTGAGTTAAGAATTCCACCAGTACCTGGTATGGTCGTTGAGCAGGCAAGAGATATTGCGTTGGCATTGGCTGCTCAGAGGGGGTTGAGGTCAAGGCTGGCTCTGGTGCTGGCGTGGCTTTCACAGTTGGGTGAAGAGTGGGTGTAGAGCAGCCTGACTCTGTTGGTGTTGGCTCTGGCTGCTTAGAGGGGGTTGAGCTGAAGGTTGGCTGTGGCGTTGGAGTGGCTGTTACAGTTGTCTGTGGATGTGGAGTGGGAGTAGAGCAGCCTGAGTATGTTGGTGTTGGCTCTGGCTGCTCCAAAGGGGTTGAGATGCAGGTTGACTCTGGTGCTGGAGTGGCTTTTACAGCTGGGCACAGGCCCATCTGGACCAGAATCCAGTTGTAGAAGTGCTGAGTGGAGGTGTAGACTCCTGGCCGTTTTGCTCTGGCACAGCCTTTTCCCCAGCTGGTCACTCCAACAAGCCAAAAGTGGCTGTCACTGTTATCTTTGCAGACCAGAGGCCCTCCACTGTCACCCTGAGGGAGAGAAAAGAGGATTAGGGTGCTGTTGAGTGGCTGCTGTCAACACAAGAGGCTTGCTTCTCTCTTGCAGCCCCTGCCACAGCTGTGTTCCTGGCACAAAATGGCTCTGCTCAGGTGCTGGAGTCTCCAGTACCTTAGCTGGGAACAGGGTGGGTGTCTGTGAAGGCCCCTCTTGTATCTGCACAGTAATCCTGGATGGGCAAAGCACGGATGATTCAGAATCTGGACCTCTGGGCTGCTGAGAGCACTGGATGGGCTTTCGGGCAGAGGGGGAGGCCTGGGGAACATGGGCACTTGGCAAGGAAACTCCACCAGTGGAGGGTACCCAGGGCTGGAAAAGTGATTTGCCAGGCAAAGCACGTGGTGATGGGGTACCTTTACTGCTGGGCTGCTCCCAGCATTCCTACCTGGCAGGTATCCATGCCACCCCGTGGGTAGCCAGCACACAGGTTGTGGGTGTGGATGGCCCCAGCGTACCAGCGGCTGCTGTTAACGAGATGGACATCCAGGAGACGGACCTTGGCTTCCTGCAGGACATCACTCACACGCTGGGCTGTGAGCACAGCAAGGAATGAGCTCCCAGCAGCTCATTTACAGTTCCACTCCCCTGTATGGGGCTGAAGTCCCTCCCTAGGACTTGGCTTTGCTTCTGGAACAGCTGTTGAAGTGCTGTGTCCTTTCTGTCTGCCTTTGGGGAGTGGGTCAAGCCCACCTCTCCAGAGGCATACATCCTACACCTGAATTTGGCCTCTGCTGTCAGGAAGCCCAGCCCATTTCTCTGGTGTGGCCAGCTCACCCTCAGGGCACAGGCCCTTTTTGGGAACTCACCTTTAGCACTGGCAGAACCCCAGCCAGCAACGTAGCAGGTTTTCAGCTCTGACACTGTGAGGGAGGCGTTGGGCACACAGGCAAGCTGGACATAGTCACTGCACTCCACGGGCTCGTCCAGCTCCAGCAAGGCGATGTCGTTCTGCTGCGAATCAGCCGTGTAGTGCTGGTGAGCCAGGAGCCGCTTGACGTGGCGCACCTGGGCCTCGGGGCCCAGATGGGTCAGCTGGGTGGCTCCGATCAGCACACGCCACATGGTGACATTCCTGCAAGGCACAGAGAGGGGTGAGAGGGAGCAGAGCCCCTCTGACATCATGTGCTCTTGATGCCTTAGGATTTTAGCTTTTATATTCTTCATATATTTGTAATCCTGCGATTCTTTAGTGTGTAACTCTAAACTCCATATACAATGTTTGCTGCTTATTTCCCATTTTGGTCAGACAAAACAATTCCTCTTTAGGCCTGGGAATCAAGGACACCTCACTGCCTCAGGCCCTGAGAGATGGAAATGAGTGACTTGAGTGGTAAGCAAACTTGGGGTAAATGACTTCATTACCTGAAGCTGTAAATGGAAGATTAACCCCCAATATGCAACTGGACCAAGCTTATAGAAGTACGAAAATCTGTGACTCATTGTCCACTTTTTGGTGTAGCCCCTGGGGGCAGGGCTTTGTCTGCCTGAAATGTACCTGAAGGCCCTTCAATAAACAGAACTGCTTTTTATTACCTTGATTTTGTCTGGCCTCTGTTTTTACATTGTCCCAAAAGGCATCACTGTAGCAGCTCAGCACTTCCCTGCCTTCTGCTTCCCAAGGCAGAGAGGAAAGCAGAGCAGTGAGGATTATGACTGCCCTAGCATGCCTTAGGCTCCAGGAATGCCACATGGAGGCTGCTGGGCCGCAGTGGCATGAGCCCAGCTTTTTGAGCAGTGTCTCAGTTGGGATCTGCGGTGCCGAGGCACTGGGCACACTGCAAGGAGACAGGAGGGGAGCAGCATGTGGTGCTGCAGGCTGGGCAACTGTTTGTGTGGTGTCATTCCTTGCTCCTCCTTACCTGGCCTGGAGGAAGCAGTGGGCTGCTGTGAGGACCCACTGTGGGCTGATGAGGGACCCTCCACACGTATGGCCAGTGCCTATTTTCCTGGGGTCCTGGATGCTGACAATCCAGGGCCAGGCACCCGGCTGGGCCCCTGTGCCAGCCATGATTCTGTAGTCAGCAGCTATGGAGTCGTAGTCAGAAGCCATGGGCCGCTGCCCACAGGTCCCTCTGGAAGCACAGAGTCATTACTGCCCTGCCCAACAGCTGCTGCTGCTCACACTGGCTCTTCAGCACCTGGGTGCTGGCAAGGAGGCTCCCACATGGGGTTTGGGGTGTGGAATGGGGGAAAAGCACCCTCCCTGAGCCTGGGGCCATACCGGCAGGTGTCCCAGGTGCCATGCACAGGCCTGTACACAGCCAGCAGGATGAAGAAGTACAGCAGATTCATCACTGCCAGCAGCATCTGTCAGCTGAAAAAAACAAACTCTTGTTTCTTCCAGTGTAGACACGGACCCGAGTGCCTGCAGCATTTGCATTGCCTGTGGCATCTGCAGCCCTGGGGCTGATGTCACAGAGTGGGTAGTTCCAGGTTCTGGGCATGGTGTTCTCAGAGAGCAGGGAAAGGCCACAGCCTCAGAGAACCCCAGAATGTTTTGGGTTGGAAGGGGCAAAAGGGGTCCCATACCTGGCACCTGCAAAATGACACCATGGGCAGACAAATCTGACACAAAGAGAAAGTCACTCCAAAGGCGGTGCATGTTTTCCCTTGAATTATAAGAGACAACAAGAAAGAAATGCAAAAATAAAAAAAGCAAACACATGATAGGAGAGGCAGGTGAGCATCTCTGGTTCAGGAATTACAAAATGTACTCAATTGCAGATTGTAGAAAATGATCCTGGCATGTACCAGCAGCCAGCACTGCCACCTGAACCCAGCATCCCCTACTCACTGCCCCACAAGTTTACAGGACCAAAGCACCAGTGACCAGCTATCCAACTATCCAACTTAGAACCTGCTCCTGGGTTATGCAGCCTGTGAAGAAAAATAAATTCGCTCACTAGAAAATGAACCAGATCTGAGCTGGGCTTACTCAAAGCACACTAAAGGCAGAGGTGGGTTTCTCCGTGCTCTTTGGGAATTGGCACGTGAACCACAAAGGCAACCAAAGAGAGATTCTCAATTCCAGGGGCACTGCTGAGCACAGCCTCTCCTGACTCCAGCTGGGCTCCAGCCCGTGAGGTGACCTGTGCTTCCAAGCAGAGGGGCCAGAGCCTCTGACCTGCATTGAGCAGGTCTGCCACAGCTCCGTGTCACACTGAGCACTGCAGTGTCCAGCCTTCCCCTGCTGCAGCCAGTCCCTTCCCAGGCTGTTCCAATCTCCACCTCCACCTTCCAGGGGCATCGAACGCTGTTGAGCACATCCAGTGCTCCCTCTGACCTGCAGGGAGAGGAAGATTCCCTCATTTGCCGTTGTGGCCAGTGGCTCCTGTCTGTGACAGATTTTGTGTCCTGCTCGGTGTCCCCCTGCACCGGCCAGGCTGGCTCCGTGCTGCTGGGCCTCTTGCAGTGCCTGTGAGCAAGGCTCCAGCTGAGCTTTCAAAACAGCCCCAATTCAACAAAAGAGCCCAATACTCCTGCGTTTCCCCCGAGAGGGCTGAAGGGCCCCGGTGCCAGCCTGGGCAGGTTCCCCT